TGCTTACTAGCAGTATCGATGGCTTGAGGCAAGCACAAATAACAAGGCTCACAGGAAAGCTGTAAACTGTGAGGCATGGTACTCAATGCCACTAAAAGCCACTAGACATACTGAAAGCACCATTCAGGGATATGGTCCATCCTATCTGAATTATCCAGGAAGAAATGCTGTGGGGCTTCTCTTTGAAACAAGTCAGCAGGATAGGTGCCCCGAGACTTGTGTTCCCTGTGGAATGATCTCCCATCAACGATCTGGATATCTACAATGCTATTAATGTTTAGGAAAGCCACAAATACCTACCCTTTCAAGGAGCATTTGAAGATTGAGTAATACCAGGTATAGGGTCAGTGATTTTAACTCTTTCTGTTTAAATTATTATGCTTTTCACTGTATCATTTTATTCTTTTAGAGGTTTTTATGTATTTAAGGTGCATTGAGTAGTTTCAAAGTGGGCTGAGGTACAAAAGTAATAAATACATAAATACATAAATAAAATTATTGAAATCCATGGGAGTTACATTTTCCACCGCTGCTGGAAGTCCTAGATGGCTATTGGGTATACTTGTGACCAATTTCCAAGGACTAATACTTAAGAACTAAGCCATACTCTACTTTTCCCTCATCAAGAAAACAGTGAGAAAAAAACCCTAAAGACAGACAACAATGGATTCATTTAGGATTGTCCTGATATATGCAAATGACTTTATGGACAATTACATTTGTAATTTTAGATAATCTCCTCATGATTACAACTAACTGATCCAGTTTTATGCAATGGAGTTAGTTCAGAACTGTTTCATTTAGAACTTTGTTTTGTTTATCCAAGTAACATTTCTATCTATTCCAAGAATATTATTACAAAGCAGTACATTTTAAACAGACAATTCAGATTTTGGTTTTATGTTTTAACATAAAATAAGCAATCGTAGCAGCCAAGTTAGGCTTTGTTACTTAAACATATAATAATGGTATACGAACAGTTTTGAATTTGAGATGTTTCTGATTACAAATGTGATTTTGAGTGTGAAATGCTTTGTTTCAAAGTTTAAAACAGCTGCTTCATCCTTGCTGGAATCATTACATTGTTTTGATGACTTTGGAAGTGTTCAAGTGTTCTGAGTTCAAAACAGACCCTTTTCAAACTTGAAACACCTGTTTTAAATTTGAAACAAGACCATTTTGAGTTCATAATGCTTCTGGAATGGTTGGATGGAATTGAGATACTTTTGGTAACAACCTACTTTTAATTATAGCCAACTGTTTTGGGCTTGGCTGAAATGCAGTGTTACAAACTTGAAATGTTTAAAATTAAAACCTGTTTCACATCTCTAACCCAAAACAATAATTGAATAGCCGAAGTGAAATGTTAAAGCAAATACCTTTATTTTTTCATAATTTTCTAAGTTCATGCTAGGCTCTTAGAAGGGCAACATATTCTATATTTCATGGTATCATTTGTTTATTGCATTTCTAATATTTGGCCAATAAATGAATTCCGTTGGACAGATTACTGAGTTAGAGAAAACATTAGAAATTTCCCAACACATTTTTAAGAAGTCAAACAATAAAAAAATAAAATATAATTAGTACAGGTAGTTCTCACAATCTGATCATTTGTTCAATGACCATTTGAAATTACGACGAAAAAATGGACTTAGGACCAGTGCCTGAAGATACAGCTGTTGCCATGCCCCCACAGTCATGTGATCAAAATTTGGGTACTTGGCAGCCCGCCCACACTTACAACTGCAGGGGCGCTACAATTACCCCCCATCCCCCCCCATCTATGCCCTTTTGGCCACCCTGCATGGCAGCACTCAGTGGCAACACCAGGGCCGGGACTGAGGTAGAGGCCTAAGGCCTTCAGCAGTCTCAGCCAGCTACCACCATCCCCAGGCCTTGACTTCAGCCCCAGTGCCACCACTGAGAAATGCTGCCTCAACACCACTGGCCTTCGCTGCCTTGCACTGTTCCCTCATGCCATTCCCCTCCTCCCATTCCTCACCTGGCCGCTCTTTCCTTCATTAAACCTCTGCCAGCAATGCTCACTATATTTCAATGAAAGGGAAGTTCAAGCCAATAGCCAGAAATGTTATTAATTCATTTAGCTGTTCTTGTTCACTTGCTGTGTTGAAGTGAATAATGCTTTGCATTACTCTTTGCTGGCTTTCCGTGGTAGTCTGTATAGTCAGGTTGGGAAAAAATATACACCTCAACTGATGTTTCCACTGTTTCCTATAATTTTTAAAATGCTTCCTATTTAATTTAAAGAAAAAAATAATGCTCTTGTCCAGCTTTTCACTATGTTGGGTGGCAAACAGCAGTCAGAATAGATTACTAGAAGGTATGCACAAAATTCAATGATTTGGAGATGAAAGTTCCCTCCAGACCATGCCAAACCTCCTTTGGATCATGCCATTCTAGAAAGAATTGGCAGCCTCTGGAAATATATCTATCAAACTGGAAGTGATTTGAGGTGTCCTCAATATGGTATTCTAAATAAAATAGGCCTGTTTCAGGGCTGACTATCCATGGGTCATCTTGAACCACTTCCAGTTTGGAGGAGTTACCTCTTGCAATTGCTGAACTGTTTTAAGAATGCCATGGTTTAGAGGAGGAATGAAATGTTCTGGAGTTTTCTGGAATCAGTGAATTTTGCACATCCACCACCTACTTTGTGACATAAAAAGGGAGCAAGATGCTTTTTTTGAGTTCCTATTTTTCCAACTGCTCTTTGGATTCCCATTGTTCTCTATGGCAAAACATGCAAAGCATTTAATGTTTCATTTATATATTGAGTCCTGGAGTTTTGTTATGCTATATTTTCCCTATATCATACCTTTTCAATTTGATCCAACTGTAATAATTCACTGGGATCACTAAGATTTGGCCGAAATGCCTCAGGCTCCAGTTCGGTTTTGATAGTTGTTCCCTGCTTTGAATATGTATCTTCTCTTGTAGTAATCTGCACAGAGGGAGAAAGTTAAATTAGCATTCAAAATGCTATTTGACAACTTTCCTTATCACATCCATCCTGTTATGTTGGAATGAAAGTTTTTGCCTATGTGTAACATTTTAACTAGTTCAGAAAAAAGCCTAAATATTAGATATAATGCCAGATTCCTATGTTTAATTTGGATATACCCCATCACTGAAATAATGTGAGAATGCAAGCTTGTGAGCCTGTTCTGTTATTTAAACTGGGTCTTTGTATCTGTTACCTTTCCAAGATACCATATGAACCTGATTTAATCTGACCCTCAGAGGTAAGCAAAATAAGATCTAGAAATATTATACTGCAGTAGTACAGTATTTGCATCCCCACATAGAAAAGACATTCAAATCTATCCTTAATCAAGAGTCAACTGACTACTCGTACAAGTAGAACCAGTTTCTCTTGAAAAGTTTACACCAAAACAAAATTAAAGAGTTGTAAACCATAGATTATTTATTTTAAATATAAGCTGCTTTTAACATTGTGCATGTCCATTCTAATCTTCCTGTATGCAGTTCATTTTAAATCTTGCTGCATGCATAAACATTCGTATAAAAATATATTACAGTTATCTGAGAATTAAGATGTTTCCCCCTGCAACAACGTGTAAAACCTTGTACTGGGAGAGAAATTCATGTAGAGAAATGATAGAAAAGATGGAGATTCTGAGTCAATCTTTTATCTTCCACTCCCCATAGAAACTATCACTTCTCTCCTGGCTTGACTCATTTCCAATTTCAAAATTGGGCTACAAAATTGGAAGCAAGTGGAGATGTGGGTGGAGGGGACCATGAATGGGGGGGGACATCTGAGATAAGGAGGGATCTGGCAACCCTTCCACTCAATAGCTCTGTTCAGAACTCATTGTATTTTATTACTGTTTGGAAATAGCATGTATTCCAGTTGATGTGCCTATCCCAGAGGTGCTGACAGACCTCCTAAAGATTCAGTAAATTAAGAGAATCTAAATACATCAACTTCTTCCCCAAAATATAGAACTGCTCCCCACATTTCTTATATACATCTTGTATGCATTTATGCTTATGGTTAGGCAATCCCTATAGTTCAACTTTGTTTAAAATTAAAACATTTTTTTTAAAAATAAGAGTACCGAGGGTGCTTACCACAGTGGGAAGTACAGAAGTAATCAAATTCAAAGTTCCAGGTAAAAAGGGGGAGGAGGAATCATACATGGGAGAGATACCTTATTATCTGGCCAGGTGTTGACTATGCTATGGACTTAGAAATAAGGACTTATTAGGATCAATGGGGCTTATTTCCATATAAATAAGTAGTAAATTGCAGCCTTATAATGAAATGCAATTTTTAAAACTTCACCAACAGCACATGATTACAAAATAGTTTTTAAAAATGATTTCATACAGACTATAACAGGGCTGAACTTAACAATAACCCCTTTGTTTGCATCTTTCTTTTTACATCTCACAATCTGTTTCCCTACAAACCACTTCACCATCCATTTTGTTTCTACTGTATTTTAAAAAGCAATTAATCTGTATAGTATCCATTAGCATCTATCATAAGTTTGAAGTGACAAAAATCTACTGAACAAGTGATCAGCAAGAGGTATGTCAGAAATTCCATGGAGTAATAATTCTCAGAATGCTAGAACTTTTTAGACCGTATCTCTCAAGTTGAAGTACTATATTTTTCTGTCTGCTGTCTCTTTATAGTCCATAATGTATATGACATATAGACATAAAGATACATAAGTCCACAATAATCTATATGGCATTTCCATTAAAAAATATTCTGTTTTTTTCATTCCACTGAACTGTCCTCCATGTATTGTAATAGAGAAGAGAACTCCAAGAACATAACTCCATTGCAAGGTAAATGGGTTAAAGTCAAATGATTTATCAGTAGAACTGCAAAATTTATACTGGAGAAAATCTATCTATGCGGTTACCAAGAGATGACACTTACTTGAATGTACGTACTTAATCAATAATTGCAAGGTAAGGCACGTTCATTTCAAAAATCTAAATCAAATGTTAATGCTATACTTCACAATATCAGCCAGTGCAAGTGCTCCAACAACAACAGTTAATCAAGCTGCAGAATTGATTATTCTATTTCAACAGAATCTACAATTCTTTGTACTTTGCAGTATCCCCTTGCCCCAACAATTATGCATTATCAGTAATATTAACCACAGCTAAAACAAGCCAAGGGATTATTTTTAATTAATTTTGCTAAGATGCTTCCAGTCAGTGTTTAAAATGTACCCACATATAAGTTGCTACTTACAAAATGATTCACCAGTTAAGGAAAACTTTGCAGTCTATTGGTGTGTATGATCCCTTAACTGTGTTTAAGGAGTACCACCTGACCTGGCTGTTTGACAACTGTTTTCTTGAAAAAGGAACCAAGGCAATTTAGCAAGTATTTATATAGCTAACATTTAGTGATACACACTTGTATTTTTCTGATATTAAAAATAATTTAAAGTTCATCCAGTTACTAAATTAGTTCTGAAATGCCAATGGCAGATTTCTAGAAGTGCAAGCAGCCTGACATCCACATCAATAAACAGCAAATAATTCATATGCCATTTAATAAGTGAAAATATACTGACACCTCCCCCTTGCCATTTCTACCAACAGAAATAGAGTGTTGGCTTTTCTAGATGGCCTTTTATCATTCTTTAACTATATGCAGTTAAAATAATCTTTTAAAATAGCAGACTTCTTCAATTCAATTCATTATCTCCAAGGTTTTTCTTTTAATTCCTCATGTTATTAATGGTCTTAATCATGAATTAGGCCAATAAGGCATCTCCTGAAATATTAACTGGTCAGCAGCAGAATGAGCAAAACTACAAAAGCATTTTCTTCCACATATAATTATAAATATTATTCAAAATCTGACAAAGTTTTTAAAATGTTTAGTCCAATTCTGCATTAAGGAAACCTGACAAAATAACGAACAATAATAAAAATAGAACGTACACTGTTTTAGTTGCACTGAAATGAATGGCATTATAGAGGCTTAAATGCTTAGCTAAACTCTCTGCATTAGACATTTTATTATTCATTCAGTGGCAGTTTTACTTCTTCAAGCTTTAAAAAATGCTTCTGAAATTTTAAAGATGTAACAGTAATAATGTACACACTCTGTATACATATATATGTATCTACTGAGAATGCAAAAGTTATGCCAACAGGCTTATAAAGGTCTGAGCGTAAAGCGGAGAAAGAAAATAGAAAGTACGTGTCTAGTTTGACACAGCAAAGTGTATCTCCTACACAGGGGCCATTAGGATATACACAGAGCTGCCCTTGAAAAGTATCCAGAAGCTTCAGTTGATTCAAAATGCGGTAGCCTGCATGGTTTTGGACAAGTCTAGATTTGCACGTGTCACCTCTCCTGCGGGAGCTGCACTGGCTGCCAATTTGCTTCCGGGTCCAATTCAAGGCGCTGGTTATCACCTTTAAAGCCCTACATGGCTTGGGGCCAGGTTATTTGAAGGACCACCTTTTCCCTGTTTCATCTGCCCGACCCACCAGATCAGGGAGGCAGGGTATGTTACGGGTCCCCCATTAAGGAGGTCCATCTAGTGGGACCGAGAAGAAGGACCTTCTCCGTGGCGACTCCCTGTGGAACATCATCCCCACAGAGATAACACTGGCCCCCACCTTGATACTCTTCTGCAAGGCCTGGAAGACATGGTTTTGCCAGTGGGCTTGGGGATCCCCGGTCAATATGGAGCCCATCAAATGGCTAGTGTGCATGTGTTGCTGTAGCTGGGGGGGTGGGGGGTGTAGTGGGTTTTGTATTTCGGGTTTTTATTTCTGTAAGCCGCCTGGAGTCACCATGAGTGAGTTGGGCAGCCATATAAATTGCTTGCTTGCTTAAATAAATAAAACAAACAAACAAACAAACAAATAAAATTAAACTGACTAGCTGCTCTGCAGTTAAGGGGTGGGGGAGATAACAATAAAAAAGGCAGTTAAGCCTAAAACAAACCCTCTTGCATTCTCTTTCATTCAACTAAACCTTCCATCCCCAGATGTGAAATACAAAGCCCTTACCAGTTTGAAAAAGAAAATTCAGCAATGTGAACAAAGTGTAAAAAAAAATTGCTCAGAGCAGAGTCCTTAAGTCTTTTTAATTTCATTTTCATACACTCTTTAAAAGTATATGCATTTTATTTCAATATTTTTTTGAACTGATCTCTCAAAACCACTTTTTCTTTTTTTCTTTTCTCTAACCCATGACAACCAAAGAGAAAGAAAAGACAAAAGAAAGGATGCAAACCCAATGCCAGTTTTCAAAGTTTATGGAGCTATGCAGCCCTTAATTTGGTCCACAAGGTACAGCTACCTTAAGCCTGAGAACTAGCTAACACTTATGCAAAATTCTGTAGTAACCAAATACATGATGCCGTCATCATCATTTTTATTATTACTGACAACTTGCAGCTCCTTTTGACTACCAGAAAAATCTCTTCCTGGCCTGAAAAGTAGCAAGGGAGAGAAGAGGCAAAAATGAATGCCAAAACCACTGTCAGTAAAAGGACAAACATTATCTGGAGTGTGTGCCAAAGACTCCGAGCATCCATAAGAACCATCAAGATGGGAACAATGCTGGAAACTGACCGGTGAGGTTATGCAAGCCTCAATTAAATCATGGCTGAGAACCATGATGGAGCTGAACTTGGAGAAGGGGACCATGGAGTTGAGATTAACAGTATCAGCACGATGTTACAGCAGCAGAAAGTAACAGAAGATTTACAGAAATAATTGTTCATGAAACAGGAGATAAGGATTCAGCGCAGGCAGAGGTAACTGAAGGAAATGGGACATCCAAAATGGGTCACCTGATGATAAAGATCACATTTACAGACAGCCAACACAGATAGAACAGCATCACATTTACAACTACCATATAAGCTTCTTGGCCAGAATGTTGACCTCCAAACTGCTGATTTGGATCCACTTTTGGTTAATGCTGTCCTCTTGTGTAAGAATAGCCAGACCCCAGCAGAAGCAGCTACCAGCTCTGCTGCAAAGACTCCCTGTATCCATCCCACTAAGCTTTCGCTTCACAGTTAACCTCAGTCTGAGATTGGATGTCCTTGCAGAGCTCATGAGAAATCAATTTATAAGCAACCAATCAGCTCCAGGACAAAACATTATAAGGAATAGTGCATACCAGGTTTAGATACAGTTCTTAGGCCAGTTGGGGATGAAAAACTGAGCAAGCAGGGATATACTGGTGGTACAGCTCACTGTAAGGCACCAAGAAGAGCACTGAGAGCAGCCAGGCGACAGCTATAACACAGTAGGTATGGGAGCAATTATATATACGAGACTACAGAGGAATACAGATGGCACTATAGCACTCACTGGCAATGGCCAAGCTAAAAGTGGAGGCAAATACCAACATTCAATGTGAAGTCACAGCCTTGCAAATAACCTTTCCAAAGATATGGGATTTCATCAGATTGGGGTTTCTGTGATTTGGAGCCCCAAGACACCTAGAAGGCTCCAGATTTGGATGGGCTGATTTAGACAAATGTCAATGATTCTAGTCTTCTCTCACATAATGCCTCTCCTCCTTCCATATGGTCAGAAGGAGTAAGGTATCAGTTAAGCATAACATCCTATAATATTCAAATATAAAACTACAGTTAATGTAGAATATGTTCAGTTTAAACAGAGCAGCTTTAGAAATCAGTTTGAAGTAGGTTTGATTAATTCATCATAGTTAACATTAACAGTTAATACTGAAGAATACAAGACTGTTTTGTCCAGTGCAGTAAAATAAACTGTGGTTAACCAGAAGCAGAAGCTTCTAAACACCTCCTCCCAGCTGCACAAAAGTGGACAAGTTTGAATGTGCAAATCTTAGCTGGTGGATAATCTAAGTATCTGAATTTCAGCTGTTCATGAGCCCTCCAAGGGGCTCATGAAATATTTACCAGACTATTTGTGTGAGAATCCAGGCAATATTTAACTTAGTTTGGCTAGGAAGTTTCATCAACTGGTTTCACAGTCTCCAGGAATTGCACAGATCTTTTCCTGAGCTATATCTTATGGGCTAACTTAAGGTCTGCATAGTCTTTGTATCAGAAAACTACATATCCAGGATTTGGAATAACTATTCAGAATTTGAACGAAAAAGAGAAGTACCTGCATTATCACTGGAAGTTTACTTTAAACTTGCAAAAGTTTGGCTCAGATCTAAAAGTGACTCACATCACAAAATGTCATCAGAGCAATTCTGCCCCTTCATAAAGGGAGACACAACCTCAAGGAAGGAATTTTCTGCTGGGTTATTTCAATATTGTAACAAAGAGAATCATCGAATATGGGCTTTGTTCTGATCAGGACCACTGCATAAAAAAATTCTAATCTCTAGTTGAGGGAATTAACTACTGAAGAAAGCACCTTGAGACGTCGGCAGAGTGCACGTAGTTCTTCACTATTTAGAGCATCGATTCTGCGGTGATACTCAGCCACTGACACTACCTGAATATGGAGACAGGAAGACAATAATTCCACTCACAGTTTTTAAATGAAAAATTAAACAACATAAAAGAAACAACAGAGTATGGCAAAGTTAAACAAGGGGTAGGGAAGAAAGAAACTGACAATGTAACAAAAATAACAGTAACATCATTCTAATGATACATGTATAACTCAGATTGAAAACATACATATACACATACAACAGTCAGAATTTCCAATAAAATAGCAAAATAAATTTTCATAACAGAATAAAAAATTCTGCTAGGAAAAATGTAAGCATGCATACCCCTGAACCATTTCCTTACAAAAATACCACCTGCTATTTTTACTTTCGGAAAAATGCTAATTGATGAAAAAGAAGCAGATACAAAAAAAGGCCTTGCAGAAACGGAATTGTCAAAAAGTGCAGAAAAAGGGAACTAAAATTATCAAAGGACTGGAACAATTCCCATATGAGAAAACACTGCCACATTTGGGCTTCTTTAGCTTATAAAACAGCAAATAAGGGAGAACATAAAATCCTGCAATGTGTAGAGAAGGTAGATAACTACCTCTCTTATAGTCAAGCTGGATGGTATGAAATGCAGCACACACACATCACATACAGTTAAACTGGAGATGAACTCCACTATGCATTAAAAAGTTGGACACAACATTGGACTAGAGAAATCCATAAAGGATAATGGTATTTCTCAGCTATTATGTGCCATTATTAGTTATATATTATCTTCTATATAAGATGCAATATACACACACAATACATACATAAATATATAAATAAAATCCCTCTCATCCCTATAGGTCTTCCTCAATCTCGGGTCCTCTACCAAAGGCCTGGGAGTTTAGCTGTTCCTAGCACTCTTCTCGACAGAGTCTGATATTGTTCCTGGGATCCGTTGGAGCCACTCTCCCAACTTAGGAGTCACAGCCCCAAGTGCCAAAGAAATTATATAATGGCTTTTTTTAACGGTTTGAAAACGATGGAAGAAAAGAACACTATATCATAAACTAGATTAACACTTTGGCCTTTACTTTCCACGTCCTCCCTAGTTCCTCCTTCAGGCCCTGGTATTTCTCTCTCTCTCTCTGGGTGTGTGTGTATTATATGCCAGCGAGCATCAGTGGGAACTGCTTGTGGACTTCTGACAAATATCTTACTATTACAGAAATACAGTACTAGATTTGAAACATGCAGCATTTACATCCTGGATAACAATGACCACATTGTCTATAAAATGCCTTAAGGCATTTTGGCCATATCTTATTAATTATTATTTATAAAAATTCAAATGTCCTCTGGGGGAATTTATAGACAGATGCAGTTTACAAATATATTTCAAGCCTCTAGAAAAGTAAGCAGTAACTGTAAACAGTAGCCAGTAAACATCTAAAATCTGCTATTAAAATACATGAAGTGTAGAACCCTATATTCTGTATGTTATAAAAAAAATTAACACAAGAAGGAATCCAACTGCATACAATACATGGAGTTAGCCAAATCCATGCCTTAATGGGTTAACGTATGGTTAGATGATTTTAATATGCACTTATTAATCCAAACCTGGCAAAACAGACTCTATACATATTAGTAATAATAAACCAAAGGTAGAAAGGCCTGTGTGTTAATCTACTTTCATATTCATTCAACACTCTCCAACTGTTTACTAAAAAAGTTATTTCTGTTTATCAAAATAACAATTTATGCTATCAACAGGCCAGAAAGTTAAGCTGAAGATTTGTAAATGAAGAACTTCCAGAAACTGAGACCACCAATACATAAATGGTCACAATTTTCTCTCATCTCTGGAATAAACAAAAGCTGAAACTCTATATTGGGGTTTTCAAATTTTCTCAGGCTGTTTAAAAAAAAGAAAAATTCCCAGAACCCCAGAAAAGTGACCTTTCTTTCCCTTCCCCTGCTCCCTCCCTCACGTCTCTCATGGAACCCTATGATTCTGCAGAATGTAAGTTTGAGAATTCCTTCTCTCCATGTTTTTTTTTTAATGCTCACCATTCTTCACTTCTCTCAGATCTAATATTTAATCTCTTACAATGGATAACTTTCACACTTACCTAGTACAGTTATAGAAGCACATTTCCATATAGTGCTATTTAATAGTAATACAATATATTCTTGCCTTCACAGTTACCTTCTCTTTACACTACAGAAAAAAAGAATTTGGCTGCTCTGAACAGGCTGTAGTGAATATATATGAAGATGATGCCCCTGCACCCTCAAAATCTACCCAAAGATTGTAGAGCTCTGCTCTTAAGGTTTATAATGCCAGAAAGAAGAATACTGAAGGGAAAAAA